CTCTCTCTCTCTCTCTCTCTCTCTCTCTCTCTCTCTCTCTCTCTCTCTCTCTCTCTCTCTCTCTCTGTTGATTGCATCTTTTTTCTTTCTCCTCAGTACTAATTAGAACTCCTTTCTTCTCTGTCAATCAGATGAAAGCAGTGGAAGGAGATCCATGGAAGAAGCCCATTGAAGAGGAACCAGAGCTAACACCCTCTCCTTCCTCTTCTTCTTCCTCTGCAAAAGCCAGGCCTCAAAAAGACAAGGCCCTCAACTGCCCAAGGTGTAATTCCAGTAACACAAAGTTTTGCTACTACAACAATTACAGTCTCTCCCAACCTCGCTACTTTTGCAGAGCTTGCAAGCGTCACTGGACAGAGGGAGGAACCCTAAGAAATGTACCAGTGGGAGGAAGCTCAAGAAAACCCAAGAAGCCCTCTTCTTCTTCTTCTTCCTCTAGGAAGTTCAATGAAACCCTAATTTCACAGGAAACACAGGGACCCAACCTCCCTGTTCTTCCCCTAGACGGCGGCTCGAGCATCACCAACGCTTCGTATTTTCCGGGTTTTGAGATGAACAATTACTTGGGTTTGGGTCCCTACAGTTTGCAAGATGCTAATTCACTTGATCTGAGCTTCTCCATTGGAGAAGGTCCAAACATGGAGAACATGGGTGGTTTTTGGAGTGGGTTCAATGGAGGGGGAGGGGCTTGGAGTGCACAGTTGCCAAATTATGGCCCTTGATCGTGGATCTCGATGGGTTTCGTGAAGTGGGTTCTGCTGGAAACCTGGCCGGAAAGAAGTTTTCCGGCAGCGAAAAAAAATTGGACGCATAATTACGGTGTGTGGTTATTGGTGCAATGAAAATTTGGATGTTTTTTTAGGTGAGGAGAATCATTTGGAGCTTTTGCTTAGTTTTTATTTGTTGGGTTGGGCTCTCTTTGTGGTGATCGGCTATGAAAGCCCGGATTTTTTAGGGCATTTGGTAGTCTTTGGTCGTCTTTCTTGATTCGTGGTTCGTGGTTTTCAGAGTGAGCAGCGAATTCAAGAGGAGGGTGGTGGTGCTCTTAATCTCAGGGTTGGTGTTTGTTTGAAGTCAGTGACTGTTTTTCGAGAGAGAGAGAGAGAGAGAGATGTGTAAAGAATGAGGTAACCATGATTGAGGTCTGTGTAGGAATAACAAGGATTGGATCTTGCTGTGTTTGTTTGAATTGGTTATGGCCATTCTGTGTATTTTGAGAGAGAGAGAGAGAGAGATCCATGTAAAAGCTGAGTAACCAAAAGGTCTGTGGAGAAGTAGGTGTAACAAGGAGGGTATATTACAATGTTTGTTTGAATTGGTTATAGTGAGAATGTGTATTGAGAATTTGAGAGAGAGAGAGACCCCACTTTATGGGTGTAAGTATTGGGACAACATATTGGATAATTACTGGATTTTCTGTAATTGATTGAGGGGATTGAGAAATGGATTCACTTTACCAATTTCCCTCTCATGGATTTGATCATTGTTCCCTATAAATTTATTCTTAGTAACTGTATTTATATGGACTCATTATATATAGGATTTAATTAAAGGGTGCAGTTTGTATAAAACCTAGGCTCTAAACAATCAAATTAGAGTCTACCTCCAAATAGTGTCGAGAAATGTAATTTCAATATTGAAAATCATTTTGATAGCTTTAAAACATATTTTTATCTTTATTTATAAAGTTTAAAGCTTCAAAAATAGTGTCAATCAACATATCTATGAAAACTTAAAAATCTTGGAAATTGACGTTCCAAAAAGGTGTTATAAAATACACTACTTGCAAAGCTTGAATCCATTTTTTTCTCATGTCTATGTAATTTGATGATCAATTTGAGGATATTTGGGCATCAAAACAACTTCTTTTAGTTATATTTTTTAGTTAGGCTCAAATTTGATTGTTTAGAGCCTCGGCTCTATATAAACTTTTCCCTTTATTAAATCTTTTAGTCACACCTCAAGACTGAAAATTAGAGTTTAGGCATAGAAATTCTTGTGATAGCCTAGAAATCTATCTGAACTCTTGACTATGGAATTTAAACCTTCAAATTAGCGGCAGCTATGCAAAACAAAAGATAGAGAATTTTTATGGCTTAAAATTTTAATCTTTAAATCCATGATTGTTGAGATCAAGATCATCAATTTGGAAATCTTGCAGTGAAACTACATTTACGAACAGTATTTAAGGTTGGAACTTCATTTTCCAATGCAATTTGAGGTACAACTTTTTAAAAGTCACAAAACAAGAAAATACTCTTTCATAATACACTGTTTTAGGACAGAAAATCCAAAATTTCCCCAAGATTATAAGTATTCACGTCGAAATGATTATTTTGAAGCGTAGTTATTAGGATTGTACTGGTCACCTAACAAGGGAGGGTATGGTCTAATTACAATTGGTCAAATCGGTTGGACCAGATTTTAGAAAATACAAAAGAATAAAATAATAATTTAAAAGTATAAAATATAAACCGGTTAAAACCGAAGAGTTTGACCGGTCAAAACCGATTCAACACTGATTTTGACTTGTTTTCGACCAATCCAAGATTTTACTTTAGACCGAAGTAGCCAAGGCACTAATGAGTAGTCATTCGATCTGATCTTGACAACCATGATAAGCAAAGTTTTTCCCACCAGAAATATATTTTTCACCTTTAATTGTAACACAAATGAAAAGTTTATATAAGGTGACAACTTTATATTATTGAAGTAAGGTACACCTGAAAGAACTTCAACAAGATAGCGTTCTGATATTTGAAAACCCTCCCTATTGATCATCTCAATGTGAGCAAGTATGGATATAAAGAAAAAAAAAATTCAAGTTCTAAAAATAATACATCTTGGAATAAGAAATATGGACATTTAATTTTAAAAAATTTACGTATTTGTAGATCTGCTTGATCTATACCTTTTTAAAACTTTTAAATTTCATGACTAGGGGTGAAAATAAGATTTTGGAAAATGGTTTGAGAGGGCTGCAGCCCTATCAAAATAAATAAAGTCTCACCCCATAATTCATCAAAAGTTACAATTCAAGGATCGGAAAACCTTTACATGAATCATCTCGGCTTGAACATATTAGTTATGAATAAAAATTAGGATTTTAAGATCTAAAAATCATGTATATTATGAGAAATTATCTAGACCATCCATTTCACACTAAACTAAGTGCTCAAAGGTCTACAAGATCTATATCATTTTTTGAGTTCTACTTTTTATTATCGGTCATTGAAATTGATTAAGGTCTATCATGGAGATTTTCACCAATAAAAACTTTATCAATAAATTTTAAAAGCCATCATAGAGTTTTGACATTGAGACTACATTCCTAGAAGGTGTAGTTTCTTCAACATTATAAAAGAGGTGCCTTATGTAAACCTCACCCATATATAAATACCGACAGATATATATATTAAGAGAAGAGTAGCATAGGCATAGGCGTAGGCATAGGCATCAAATCCACAATTATTCTTTGACAAAGATCAGTGAGATGTCCCTTGGACATTCCCCTCGAAGGAAGCGCTATTTGTCTCCCCAATATATTCATTTTTGGGGGTTAAAAAAAAGTTCATAGCAACATGCTCTTTTGCTTTTACCTTTTTTTATAATAATAACAGCTCACAAAGTCCTTCCCATCACGACTCTCTTTCAATAATTTATTAATTTTACAAGAAGTAAAGAATCTTCTCTTTTGTTTTTTCAATGTGATTAAAATGGTAAAATTATCACCTCATTGATAATAAATTAGGTCGTTAAATTAATGCATTTTGACAATTTGGCACTAGGGGTGGCAACTGGTTCCGGGTCTGGGTCAGGACCTAGACTTAGACCCGGACCCGCGCCCAAATGGTATTCGGGTTCAGGTTTTGGACTCGGACCAGACCTAACTCGGATCCGATGTCGGATCTACCCGTCGGATCCCCGGTATGGTTGGGTTTATTGCCACCCTATGACTATGAGTTTTTTTTTTTTTTTTTAACTTTTTTTACCATCATATACGTATATTATTGGAAATATTGTCGCACAACATAAATACCCTCATAAACTGACATTCCTTATTGTTTTACGTTATAATTGGAACTTCTTAAAAAATAAACATATTGGCAACATTCATGAATACCCACATATATCCATATTATTCAAGTCAAGTCCGGGTCTGGCTCCAGCCTAAATAGTATTCGGGTCCAGATCCAAAATTTGAAATCATACCAGAACCCGAGGTTGGGTCTACCCATTGGGTCCTAAGTCTAGTCGGATCTATTGCAACCCTATTTGGTACATTAGAGTCTCTTGAGTAACAACGTAAATAGGTTTGAAAGATGGAAAAAGTTAATGTCAAGTTGCAACCTTAAAATGTTGAACTAGAGATGCACCTCAAAAATCAATAAATAAAGGTTGTTTTAATGTTGAAAAAACCCTCTAATTGATCATTTCGACAACTAGATATATAAATATGAAAATAATAATAATAATAATATTGAGTCCTATAAATAATGCATCTTGCAACACAATATGTTTATAGATCTACTTGATTTAAACTTTTTTTGAAGTTTAAATTTTTATAATTAGATATAAAAATAGACTTTCAGATAATCTTAAAAAAAAATTTACACCAAAATTACATGTTAAGATAAAATTCAGAAGTGCGCCTTATTTGGATTGTTTAAGATTGCAACTTTATAGAAACAACACTCTTGAAAGATTTAAGTCACTTGGCTCAAGTAGGATAGATTACTGCAATATCTTTACCTATTTAGGGTTTCAAACCCGAAACAAGACTTTATATATTTTTTTAACAAAACTCTAGAGGTGCCTTCTGGCCATTAGTGGATCCAAGAATTTTATTGATTTTTTGAGGTGATTTAACCATTTTTTTGAAATTCTCTCTTTTTTTTTTATGGATTGACAAACACCAATTACACCTAGGATGCAACTACCACAATACGCATGAACATATCAATCACATCACATAGTTTTATTGTATAATGTGTTCGAAAATGACATCCACTGCTAGGTACGATATCAAACGTAGAAGATGAAGTGATTCGAACTATGAATGTGATTGCAAATTCAATAAGAAAAAGCATATTATGATATCATGTGGTCCAACTATATGGAAAAGCCAGCAAACCATTATCAAGTATTTCAAATTCCTTAATCTTCAAAGGATGAAGTTTTTATAGAGCTTAGGTCTTATGAAAACAAAATAAAGTCTCTCCTCAAATCCTTATATGGAAAGCACAATCGGCAACGGAAATCTTTATAGTAGCTCTAAAATCAATTTTCAATACCGACTACAAAATTCGAAACTCAAAAAATATTACAAATCTTGCATATCTTTGAACACTTATTTTTAGGGCGAAATGAACGGTATGTATAATTTATTACAATATACACTATTTTAGTACTTAAAAGCTCAATTTTTTTTCACAACCAAAATATTTAAGCCGAGATGATCGATTTAAAGGTTTTTCAATACTTAAATTGCAATGTTCTAGGGTTATGAGGTGAGGCTTTAGTTATTTTTTGGTAGGACTACCGCCCTATCAAACCATTTTCCATCTTGAAAATCGTATTTTATCAAACAACGTCTAAATTACCCTACCATCATGGTACATCATGGTACTTTGGAATTACTTTTGGCTAAGGATATCATCATGGCAAGTTGGATTATACTTTGACATAAATGAAAATTATTAATATTGCATACAATTAGGAAACGGTGAGGTTTGTATAAGGTGTCAACCGTAAACAATCACAGTAAGGTGCATCTCAAAATGTTGTTAAAAGATGCATTTTCATTGTTGAAACTCTTGTAATGGCTTAAAAATCTATTTTTTACTTTTATTATGAAATTTAAAGCTCAAAAAATGATGTAGATCTAACAGATCTATGAATACTTTAAATCTTGACAATAGACGGTATAGATAATGTGGTTGTATTATTTTTTATGCTTAAATTTTATTTTTTTTAATATCCATAAGTTGAGATTATCACTTTGAGTGTTTTCTAGTAACCAAACAACCTTTTCCCATGGGTATTCTAAGGTGCACCTTACTTGTAGCACATAAGGTTGGCACCTTATATAAACTTTGTCCATTAGGAAATTAAGAACTTGCTTAAGATCATGTATGATTGTCCAAGTTAATCCTTTCCCAGATCTTCTAAGTTACTTCCTCACACTCTCATTTTAAAATTGGAGCCTTAGGCTTAAAATTTTCTCCCCCCAAAACTTGGTTCCTTAAAAAGGTTAATTAATAAATAAAGTCTCATTCAAGGCACCCTTAACTTTTTTAAATTTTCTAATTTTTGCAAGGAGGCTCATGGGATTCATCCACTTTTGTAGGATACAAAAGATGAATAATTGTAACCACAATGGAGAACCTCAAATCAACGAGGAGGCTCAACTCAACCAAGGTCATATGCAGTACTGAACCACAAAAGCAATGTCATAAACCAGTATTTAAAAACCCAACGATTTCCGAGCCGGGTCGTCGATCCAGATGCAGAATCGGTCGGGACCGAATCGATTCTAGAATTATATGGGTCTCGATCCGGTTCCCCCCTAAAACACTCCCTTTTCACTTTTTTTCTTTTAATTTTTTCTTGAAGCTTATCTATTGTTTTTAATGGTGATCCTAAATCTCCACCCCATAAACTTCTATGTTAGTTTTTTTTGTTTTTCTGGATTACCAATCTAAACGATCCGAATTGCTGATCCAACCGATCTAAACCGGGATCACCAATCCATTTTTTAAAAAAAAATTGCATAAACAGTGATGCAAGCCAAAAATTTGATGGGACCATGATGGAGAGGGACCACTAATATTTGTGGAATGGGATTCTTCCCCCAATTGTGGGTCCTCTAAAAGAAAGGAAGTGACAAGGGGGTGCCCATTGCCATATGATGTTGGACAGTCAGCTGCGCAGGTTGAAGGTCCTTCATTGTATGGGGACCATATATATACACAGAGAAAGAGAGAGAGAGATTATCCTTTGTCAAGTTTCCACAGGGCAGTGTATCCTTGATTTATGTGAAGAGAGAGAGATGCAAATCTCCAGAGGCCAGCGTATCCTTGATTGATGTGAAATGAACCGAACTATGGCCTCTGGTCAAATCCAATGCATCAGTTTGCATCATGTAACCCAGCTTCCCACTTGACACTAGGAAAAGAAAGGATTAGAACATTCTGACTCGTTGTGAATATCTAACTTCAATAGAGTTTATCCTCTCTCTCTCTCTTC